GGCCTTAGGACATAACCAGTTGTATGTGTTTAGTTATGTGTTGTGATATGTTTATGTGATGTTAATTGTTGGCGGGCGAGGCCCTGTGACAGGCGGGGCCTAAGTAAAACAGATCTTTATCCGAGCGGGGCTCGAAGCCTGGTGGGGCCTGGAGCGGTGGGGCCGTTGTAGCGGGCGAGGCCCGAGGTAGGGGGCGAGGCCCAAGATAGCGGGCGTGGCCCAGTATGTGCAGTATGTGGTAGGGTGGGGAACTCACTAAGCTTCGTGCTTACGGTTTTCAGTTTTGGTTTCAGGTACTTCTGGTAGCGGAGGGAAGAGCTCGGGGTGATCGCATGGCACACACCATAGATTAGACAGCCTGGGAATGTTTACTCTGATAATGAACATGTGTTTTGAAAACTTATACTGATATTATGTTTTGGAATGATGACTTTAGGTTAAGTAATGATTTATTAAAAGAAATTTTCGGTCTTAAATTTTGGGTTGTTACACAAATATTCAAGAGTTAGTGTAGTTTTTATCAAAACACTTCATAATTAGGTCCTAGTTGGTCTTTGTCTTATCCAAGACATCACAACTTTCCTCATTTGATGAATGTTATAAACCTTCTTATTACTCAATGTCACAATCTTAACTCTAAGACGTGTTTTGGAACGAAGTACGATTGACTTCTTGATTTAACCATTTCTTCAATTCTTGATTCCTCTTCTTAGACATACAATTGTACTAAGACTCACTTAGAGGATCAATTGAGATATGGTTCTTAATCATTAAGACCTATCATAAAACATAATAAAAGGTACTCTCCCTTCTTCTTAGAATAGAGAAAATTTTATCTTTCTGCCTACTTCATTCTTCTTATTCATTCTGCTTATTGATTTAAACTTTTACAATCAATTCATAATTACACTTAATCTTATAAGTGTAATCATATTTGTTAAACTTTTAGTAAATCATGACGAATGTCTTTGTTACTCTTGTGGTGAACTTGATCAACACATAATCTTGTGTACTCGATTTCCTAGTCCTTCACTTGACACTTTGTCAACGAATTAGTCTAATTTCCAAATATGAAATTTTATTCATTCATCATACAATTCTTGTTGTACGATTCCATATCTCTATCCAATAGAAACTTGGGCGATGAGGAACTTTCCCTATTTGGTAAATTCTCGACGTTTCCGCAAATAACATAATTAAGAATCACATCCATTTGTTGTAAATATACGAACATCAATTTTTTGATAATGATTTCATTGCAAGGAAATAAATAAATAAACACGTCAAAGAAAATTTATTTTATTTCTAAAAGCAGTGGAAAAAATTTGTCCTTACAATGCAAAATCAACTGAAAAACTATGTAATAAATATTCCTAACAACTATATCTAAGCTCAAAATCTAATCTTCGAATCCATGTCTCCGTGATTAGATTCATCTTGCTATTTCATCAAGCTTCCTCTCTTTTCATCGATCCTGCAAAACATTCAAATGCAATCTTATCACATTATGTATTAAGAATCAATGAATAGGAACTTAATCGATTTAGATAGTGGATTTTTCCTGAAGTACAACCATACTCTTTGACTCTCCCATCTTTTGGACTCTTCAGGCTCTTAGGGCAGACTTGTATCCAACACCCTTTCTATTGGCATCAAACGCAGGTCGGTTCTCCTAGAACGTCCTCGGAAGCATGGTTGGTTGACTTTCCCAACAAATATGCTCCATTGCTTTGCCAAATCATTTCTGATTCAGCAGCAATGAGCATGTAAGTTAGGTCAATGAGGCTTTCGTCATGATCTATCATATAATAATTTCTTTTGAACTCATTATATGATTCGGGAAGTGACTGCAGAACCCAGTTCACAACCAACTTATCCGGGAATGATACACCTAACATTCTCAACCTATCTATGTGTGATTTCATTCCTAGAATGTAGGCTCACACGGGTTTACCATCTTCATGTTTCATTTCCAATAGGGCTTTAGTGGCATTGAACCTTTCAATTCTTCGATCTTGTGGGTTATGGAGAACAACGGGAGGAGGAGGAGGAGGAAGTGAAGCATGATTTCTTGTTCCTCGATCGAATCGTGGAATATCATCTTCATGTGGAAAGCTAGTTCCACGGGATTTGGGAAGACCATAGTTGTCGAACTTTGACATCTACAAAACGGGAGAAAACATAAATTCAAGTTAGTTGATAGATTGAGTCCTTAATAAATCACCCAAATGAGATATTAAGGCTAGGACCCAACACAATACGCTACAACCTAGAAAAGGGATGCCGTAATCTAGTTGCAGAATATTTGAAGATAAGTGAATGACGATTCACTAATTTTCCACCATGATAAACGAAAAAGAAATTAAGTTTTAAATCTATGAAAACTCTTAGATCCTTTGAGATTCATTGAACTTTTTCAATGGCATGCTAAAATCTCGATATGCCCCTCTTGTTTGTGACTGGGATGCCGAGGATCACAAAGCGGGTGTGAATAACCATGCAAACTTACATGGTGCCCTCACACGTTACGGTCACCTATTCGATGTGCCGGTAAACCACACACGCTCCACCGAACTATGACAAACATTGAGTCACCCTTTCCTACCTTTGCTTAGAACCATTTAGTATGTCGGTAAACCACACACGCTCCACTAACGTCTTCGCAAGGGAACAAAGTGTAATTTCATGGAATTGCACCAATTCACTTTTGCCTAAAGTAACTAAGATTGGGAATTTGTAAAAACATTTAGTTACTTTTTTACTTCATTATACTTATAATGGAAGGTTTTGTCCTATCCTACCCATTCGGCTAACGACCCTCCACTAGTCAAGAGTGCGGTGGGTAAGAGTAGATACCCATTCAATCGCCATTTTATAGTCAATTTCCTTAAACACCCCTTATGGATCAGCTTCGTGAATGAGGCCTACTAACGGCAAGATAGACTTTTACTCATACATATATATACACACACACACACACACACACACACATATATATATATATATATATATATATATATTTAATGTTATATATAGTATAGGGTGTATTTTACACTTTTAAAATACTAGGTTGTCAGATTTAACAATTATACTTTCAATTCAATTAAATTGTAAACCAAAACTTTTATGGATTTATTAACCACTTTTAATTATACACCTTAATTAATTAATAAACCCATAAGGGTGTGATTTGAACTTTTCAAAACAATACTAGGGTTTTAGAATTTAACATTCCTAGATTAAATTTTTAATCAACTTTTAAATTCCAAAACTTGAGGACAAGTTTTGAAACATTTTCAAAACATTAGGGTTTCAACTATTTAAATTCCAACACTAAACTTTTGAGTTCAAATTTAAACTATAAAACCTAAAAGGGAAAATTGAAACTTTTCATAACATAAGGATCAAATAACAAATAATATAAATTAAACAATTAATTTCATCATTATCTATATTTGACCTTATTTCAATTACTTTCAAAATAAGTTACCCAATTAATACAAATAATTCAATCTTTATCATATAAGGAAGTTATTATCTAATCAATTGGTAATTATCTTTTGTTTAATCAAGGATATATTTTAATGATTTAAAATAGATAAGGCAAGTATCCATGAGTAAAACAACAAGAAATCCCGAAATCCCCTCTTTCTGATGCTTGAACTCGCCGAGTACCCATATGGACTCGCCGAGTCCACAATGGGACTCGCCGAGTCCATCAGGTAGGCTCACAAAAATCGAATTTTTCAAGCATGAACAAATTAACAAGGCATCAATACAATAGAAACCAATCAAGGCTCTGATACCACTGATGGGTTTTGATCGTAAGAACATCCTATGTGCTCATACAAACCCTAATGCTTAGATCTAGGTTTCTCTATTGTACATGCAATTCATCCAAGACTATAAACCCTAAATCTGGCATATGATAATCCATATTAACATAATAATGGGTTTAAGATATTACCTTGATTGTTATGTAGCAATAACAATCACAATTCCTTCTTGTAATGACTTTAGAAAGCTTAGAGTCACAAATGTCACTCCTCTAATGGTTCACAAACACCAAGAGCAAGAGGATGAAGAAGAGAAGAGAAAGAAGCTGCCTAAAATTGTCCAAAACCCTAAAGAACAAGTTCACCATGTTTTTGGGGATTAGGGGTACTATTTATACATGTAGGCTATTAGGGTTTTAAACTAGGAAAACCTAATCTGACTGCTTAAGCCCTAAGCAGCCCATAGATTCCTTTCTCAAAGGCCTTGGAAGATTTCCAATGGGTTTCCCCATAGAATTCATCCAACCTTATAATATAAGGTAATCCATAGCCTAATTGCAATTATCTTATTATTACAATTCCAGTCCCTTAAGTTTAATTAATCTCTTTTATCCACAAAATTAATTATCAATTAATTCTTAACTAATATTAATTAAACAATATGATTTCTCCTTTAATATATTATTCCCATAATATATTAATAAATCATATTTAATCCTTTCTCTCCATAATTCATCCTATCAAGTTGCTTTGGTGAAGGCAACCCAAAAGGACGACGCACCATCGGGTCAAGTTCATACCAAAATAGTTATGGACTTAGACACTAATCCTACAGTTTCATGGCAAGCAAATGGCTGGAAATTGCATCCTTTCTCCATCTTCTTAGAATATACTGCTCTGGAATCTCTTCAACATGGTTGTTTTTCAATACATCAAAAATATGACGACACAAAATCCCAGTACGTATGAAGTGATTGCATGAACATTTAACTTCTTTTTCAGGCAACTTTAGTTCAACCTACATTCTATAATAAAAATAATGTATGTTAGTAACTGAATGAATTAACATATTAGTTTGTGGTTATTGCATAATATTGAAAAAAATATATGTAATTTAAAAATAATGATATAATATACTTGTATGATGACTAATGAAAAGCGTTTAAACGATGAATATAACCTTGCATTTTATCTTCAACTGTTTGCTCTTATCTGTTTGTGTAATCAGAACAACGTGCCACCCATCAATCTTTTCAACACTGTCGATAGAACAGTACCATGCTGCTTTAAATATTTCCTTTTTGACCTCATAGAAATTTTTTTAGTGTAAACCGTAGCTGCATGTTCTAGTAAACCACTTGGAAGCGTCATTTTATGCTTTGCATTTTTTGTATCATGTTCTAGTTTTTGTTGAGCATTTCGTTGATTTCCAATTGCTGTGTCGTAGTTCATCATGAAATAGATAAGCAAATTACAAGAGTTAGAGTATTTATTAAAAAATGAGTTCACGCTTTCAGACCTTGAAGTAGTTTTCATCAGACCGTGTAGTGGCATGTCTTTAAAATAGGCTGGAATCCAAAGTTTTCGATCCCTGTACATGTCTATGAACCATCTTTTGTCCTGTAGTTTGAGTTTTCTCATAAGCAGTTTCCACCTTGATTCAAACACTTCAGGATCGATGTAGACATTCGAAACAAGCTTCGTAAAACGCTTTCGAAAATCAGTGCTTTTCAAAAAATCAGCTGAAACCTAAAAAAAATAGAAATTTATAAGATTAACTATGAATAAACAATATATATGCTAATCGTTATTAAAAATATGTAAACTTTGTAAATCATTGCTGAATAAAACATGTTGCGTGTTAACTTAAACCAAAATATACACACCTTGGCTTGTAGTTTTTTCATAATGTGCTACATACATAAACGATGATTAGAAGTAGGAAATATTGCTTCAACGGCCTATAGAATTGCTGGATCTTGGTCTGTTAACACTAATTGAGGGTGTTTTACATGTGCTTTCAAAAAAGCTTCGAGCAACCAACGATAAGATTCTATTGACTCGTTGCTTAACAAACCTGCTCCAATGTTTATTGAACGTTTGTGGTTATAAATGGCTGGAAACGGCACAAAAATCATTCCATACCTGTATCAAAAAGGTAATTAAAAACAAATTTAACATTGATTATAAACTCAAAAAACATCAATATTCATATTTAAATATAAAAAATGTATAATAAGTATAAGAGCATACTTATTTGTTCGGAATGTAGCATCAAATGATATCACATCTCCAACCTCCTTGTAATATAACTTATCGGTTTCATCCGCCCAAAACATTGCGTTGAACACACTATCAACACATTTATACTCAAATGTGTAGTTATGTAACTCATCTTTCCTCATGTTCATTTTGTCGACAACCAGCTCTGCATCCTTGTCACCTATAATGTATCCCATCTTCCTTCTGAAATTTTTATAATCAATTGCTTCAAGGCCAACGTTTTCATAACCTCCTTGCAAACTAGCTTGTAACTTATGTGCCTTTGTTGCACCAATGTTAGATGTTGAAGAACGCACTATAAACTCCTTGTCTTTATAACTAAGTCATCATGAACGTTTGTAATACCGTCTTTCTTCTTTAGTCTATAGGGGGTGGTTGTGATTCTCTTTAAACTCATATATTTTACAAGCATTAGTTTGCATATGTAACCTTTCAAACTTTATCAATGCCTTGTAGTCCGTGATTTTGAAGTCTGAGTTTCGTTTATTCCTTCCACTTCCCTCGGGATCCAAAGTGTTAGTTGATCTGTTAGGTATTTTACCCATTTTGTTGCACACTACATACTTTTTTTTAATGGTTTTGTCACCAAACCTTGTTACTGTATTTAACCTGACACCAAAACCTGCTTTATCTGCATATAATTTATACATTTCAACCGCCTCCTCTAATGATTGTGTCACACCCCGAAAATCAAAGGCGGAAACATTTCCGAGGTGGACTACCACGTTGTGTATCAAATCCAATGTACATAGTAATCACAGTAAACAAACATTACATTACATATATATGAAAGTTTACATTTGTTCCAAAAGTAAAGTTATACAAGATATACATATGTATCATATTAAAAAAAGTAGGGGCGAGTCTTCCACGCACTCCGTCTTCATCAAAAGAGATCACCGGGTACCTGTCTAACTTGGACCTGAGAATATAAGCGGTTTGAAAATCAGCATAAAGCTGGTGAGTTCATAAGCGGTTTTGTTTTATGAAAATGTATCAATTTCCTTTAGTTTCCGAAAATACTTGTTATCCAAGAAAATCCCATATTTTCTTATGTGAAGTTGGTTAAGTTATCATTTGTTACCAATTCGATTATGTATTGTATTTTACCCCAGGAAAATCCCATATTTTCCTAATTGTAAGATCGGTTGTATAACACAAAGTATAGTTTAACACACAAAACTATATAATGAAAATCTTGGGATCACTATCCCGAAAGACATATAAGATAGTTTGACACATCTAAAAGTACATGTTTAAGATCATGGGACTATCATCCCGGACTAAACACGAGATAAGTTGATGTATATATGTAAATATAGATTGAAACCATGGGATCACTATCCCGAATAAGATACAGATTTGGAAAACCATGGGATCACTATCCCATATAAGATATAGATACAAAACCTTGGGATCATTATCCCGTATAAGATATAGATTTAGAAAACCATGGGATCACTATCCCGTATAAGTTATGGATACAAAACCATGGGATCACTATCCCGTATAAGATATAGTTAAAGACCATGGGGAAAGACATCCCGTACAAGTTATAGGCATAAAACCATGGGATCACTATCCCGAACTAGATACAAAATAGTTTGGTTAATACCATGGGATCACTATCCCGAAAGAGATATAGAAACAAAACCATGGGATCACAATCCCGAAAGAGATATAAAATATAGATGCAAAACCATGGGATAACTATCCCAAAACGAGATATAGTTTCTAAACCCAAACTGTGAATAAGCTAATATTAATACATGTTGTGAGTCGGGTAACCATACTAATACGACAACGTGACCTCCTTGATGTTTGTCAGACGTCGAAACGATATCCATAAATTTGTCACCCCAGGTGTGCCCGCCTAACTGTAGCTAGCAGTTAAGGTGTGGGATTGTCAGTCCCGAATAGATCTATTCACAAATTCCGCGCTCTCCCTCCAGGAGACTCTGGTTACACTTCCGGGGAGGATTTACTGATCATCCATAAAGGGTAGTGACTATCTCACAAACCAGTACTAAACTATTCACAGGGTTCTCATAAGATATCGACATATAGAAGATCATGAAACATAGTACAGTAACTATAGATACATACGTGAAATTATCTGACAATACATTCAAATGATACGGAGATAAACTGAATCAGACATAGTTTATCTAATAACTTGATATAGATATCAGTATACGATAGAAAGAACAGTAAAGACCCCCAAGTTATTCCCATAATAATTTGATTAGTTTGATTGTTTCCTTAGCTAAAATTCTTTTAGTTGTAATTGATAAGTCATTCCTTATGCTCAGCATAATACATAAGGAGTAAAAGAGTTTATAAGTTGTCAGATATAGTTTGAAACATATCAATGTTATGATTTGAAAACAGTTATAGTTTGCTTGTATTCCCCCCTGAAAACATTGAAAACAGTGAAAAAGCCGTAGGGGTATGAACTCACCGGACGAGATATGAGACGGTTTGGATGCTAAGAGTTGATCCGGGACTTGTAAACACACGAGGTTCCTAATTATGATGTAAAGATACACATTTGTATCTAATTAGGACTTAGATTGATCGTTGGATAGGGACAAATGCTTCAAGTCGCGATAACACTCCGATACAAGTGTTTGGAGGGACCCGGGTGGCGTTTAGGGACATGAATGATGCGAGGGACTTGGGAAATGAGTTGGGACTTCAAAGGAACACCCCCTTTAGGGAGTTTACGGCCACAAGACCCATTCCCCATGAGTTTACGGCCGTAAACTCATGGTGGGGTCAAATATGGGCAAAAATGACTTCAACACTTAGGGGAATAATTTCTAGACTTGGTTTAAGGACTTGAAATGATTTTAAAACATCAAATAGACCCACTTATGGGAGTTTACGGCCTAGCATGGCTCCATGGCCGTAAACCCTATTTTTCCAAGAAAATGATGTTAAATGGTTCCAAAACAAATCACATGTGATTAATAGAATTATTCCAAGGCCTAACATGAGTTTGCAAGGGACATTTGAAGGGTTTATGGAGTTTACGGCCCATGAGACCCCTCTCATGGCCGTAAACTCTTCTATAGGGTGCTACAAGGTGTTTCAAGGTCTAAAACTTGCATAGAAGGGCTTCTAAAATTCATCTAAAGGCTTTAGGGGTGTTTAGTTTGCATTCTAACACCATGAATCATGGAGTTTACAGCCCAAGCACATGCCTTGGCCGTAAACTCACATAAGTCCCCCAAAAATCATGTTTCAAGTGTCCAAATGCTAAAACCAAGGTTCTATAATTCATAACTAAGCCATATAAGTGATTTGGAAGGGTTTAAGGGCATGAAAACCCTAATATATGAGTTTACGGCCCAAGAATGATCCTTGGCCGTAAACTCCTTTAAACATCACAAAATTCATGTTTTAATTGTTTAAAGTCCATATCTTGAAGTCCCTTGGCCATATCTAAAGTCCAAATGAGCTTAGGAAGGAGTTTAAGGGCTTAAAACCCTTCAAAATGGTGTTTACAGCCTAGGCAGCCTCCTGGGCCGTAAACTCATATATGTTGTCCCATTTCATGATTAAATGTCGAATTTGGAAGCCAAATATGCTATAGATTAAGGCTAGGAAGGTACCTTAAGGATTTGAGGCCTTAAAATTGAGTTTTGGACCCTTAATCTTTGGATTTTGGAGAGAGGTTAGAGAGAGAGTAGAGAGAGAAGGAAAAAGCTTCAAATGATAGGTTAAACACGTTTATATAGGTCTTAAAACTTGTACGCGGTGGAATTCTACCCGATACCGACGTTAAACGCGGCTTTTGGTCGCACCCGATTAAGTTTCCGTCACCCGACGGGGACATTTTTAAAACTTATGAAATAATTATATTCGGGCTAATTACGAGAGTTCTTGAGTGATTTAGACACTCATTAGAATAAAATAAACATATAAGTTTATACAATTAACTCCAAAGAGAAAACGGAACGAATTTGATAACGGCGACTTTCCGGGTAGAACGGGTTTTGGCGACGAACAAATTTCGGGTTGTTACATTATCCCCCCGTTAGAGGGAATTTCGTCCCGAAATTCAAAGAATAAGATATAGATCATGAGTTTGAAATGAGACTCGAATGAATTCATTACATTTGATCTTCACTTTCTCAAGTGGAATCGAGTGTCTACTGGGCGTTCTAGTGAATTCTCACTATCGGGACGTGTCCTTGTTTCGTATCTTGCCTCTCTCTCAATCTATGTTATCAATCGGTTTTCTCATGGAAATTCCAACCCTTAATGACTTCGGTTTCCTCAAGGAATCACTAGGGTTTCGTTGAGTAGAAGCTTCTAAGGATTCGAGACATGATGTACTGGATAGATGTTGACAAGCTCTATGAGCATCTGAGCCCTGAAGATTGTAGAATCAATCTCTACGAAGATCTCGAAAAGTATGACGTGGAACTAAACTTTAGACGTTCGAATGAAATTCCCGGAAACTCTTCGGGACAAACCTTTAGTAGAAGAAGCTACTAACTTCTCGTTTCTCAATGATCACAGAAACGAGGAATGTGGTAATTCGTATCAAGAAAACTCTTGGGTTTTTAAAGCATGACACAATACGAAAGTTTGATGCCGAAGATCATGAGAGTTAGGTCGAAGAAAAAGATATAGACAGGCGACCCTCTCGAAACCAAGATAACAACACGAATGAGACTCAGTCATTCCATGTTAAACATAGCATCAAAGTGTTTTCGTAAAAGGTTTCTCATTTAACCAAATGGAATAGAATAGTCCTCTGGACCGAGGATTCAATCTATAGGTACGAAGTTAGTGTTCTCATTCTCATTGGTTAGTCGTCTCGATGATGCACATTTCGATCACATACGAAGGATTGGGTTTAGAGAACATTCGAATAGATAGATAACAGGTTTCCCTCCAAACACGGGAATCGAAAAGAGTTGCAGGTATAAGAGTTATCAAAGAGAGGATTACTGCGGCGACAGAGGGATCAGTGGTAGCTGCTTTGGGACAGTTCCTTTTGAAGTGCCCTGTTTCACCACAATTGTAGCAGGCCGGACTGATTCCTGCCCCCGATGATTGGTTCGTTGATTTGGCTGGTTTTCTACAGGTTCGAGACAGATGGCCCTTCTTGCCACAGTTGCCGCAGCTCCTTTCGCGAAATGGACCAGGGATGCGGTGATGGTAGTTTCACTTACCACACCAAGGAAGGGTACCAGTGTATCCACTGGTAGGAGTTTAGGCTGTAGAACCGACAGCTGAGACAGCAATAGGGGCAGTAGCAGCATGGACTGCTACCGTTTGCTGTTTCTTCGAAGACCCTTTCGTACTCGGGGCCTTTCGCTTGTTCTGAGATTTCTTTTTACTTTCACCTCCACTTGTGTCCGACTCGGGAGTGGTAGTTTCCTCATCAGAGTTTTCTTCGTGATCGATCAAGATTTTCGCAAGGCATTTAGCGCTATCGTACGTGTCTGGCTTTGTAGCCAAGACATTCCCCTTAGTTGGCTGGGTCAATCCCCAGATGAATCTTTCGATCTTTTTACTCTCCGGGGTA